CAGATAGCAATTCTACAAGCTCTTCATCAACCTTTGAAAAGCCCTAACTTAACTAGCAAATTACTCAGACATTATCATGGAATCACAAAGCATAGCTTAATAAAATTGCATTGAAAGAATGAAATAATAGACAAAGAGGTTCAAAATCTTCCCCAAAAAGAGTACATGATCTGTTTCCCTAAAAGCTCTGAATAAAATCCTCTCTCAAACTCTCTGAATTCTCCAAATCTAAGATAAAAGCCAACAATGGCTGAAAACCTAATATATACAAGCTAAAACACGATCTGGAGCGTTTTTGCAAATACTGAAACTTCTGGGCCAATTCTGAAAATAATTCTCCATCTTTTAAAAACAAGGCCACGACTCCTTCCTCTAAGGGTAACGAGCGTCACCCAAGCCATCAATTGTCTTCCGAGTTGCACACTTCGTGACTTCATCTTGTAATGCTCCAAAAAGCTTCAATATCTCCAATTATGCTCCAGACATGCTACAACCTGCAAAGACTCTACTAGGACTCTAAAAAGACCAAAAAGACTCAATAAAAAGACTTATATCATGGTTAAAAACCATAAAAACCATGATATATCAGTATTGTATGAAAAACAGAGGAGACAAGTTTTCATCTCGTGTTGGTTATGTTTCCTTCGCTTGTGGTGATGCAGAGTTGTTGATTAAGACGCACCGAAGTAGCTGGGTAGTATATCTTTTCCTTTTTTTTTTTTTTTGAATTCATCAAAGTCGTGTTCAGAGTTTGGGAGCTTGTTTCCCAGCCCGGTTTTTCTTCCATCCCACCACGATCATTTTTTTTTTTTTTTTGCATTGATTTAATCTTCTTGTAACTTCGTTCGACGAACTTCACGTGAACTATTAATTTAAGAGCACAGCGTTGAATTTGCGAGGTTTAGAGTTTCGCTTTGACTCGAGTTGATTAGTTGTTCCTCTCTGTTGAACTCATAACGAATAACTAGAGAAAAGTGAGATCTCGAAATAATGACGTATTAAGCAAAGCTTAATTAAAGCATGCGGTGAACATACTAAACAATCGAAGTGTTTTCAAGATATTCAGTGATGGAGAAGCATGAACTATTGTTATTAGAGCAGATCCCTAATAACAACAAGATGATTTTTAAATCAAACGATTAAACAGCATGACAGTATTTAGAAGGCAATAAAATTTTTGGTTTTTCAGAAGAAAATCGAGCAAGTATATAGGATGACAAAAAATCTTTGAGTGAAGCGAAGCATGAATTATATCAAAGCATGTATGCTAAAACCGGTGAGTTTGCAAATATGTGTTGAACGAGAAAACTTGGGTTTTTGATGGTAAATTAAAGTAAATAGATCGGTGCATTAGTAAAGCTTATCTCGGCGAATGGTTTTGTGATTTGCTTCGCGGTAGAGTGCGGAATTGATGTTGCCGCCTTGAACCTCCGCTTTCCATGTTTGATAATTCTCTATTCCTCATAGACGGCGCCAATTATTGAACTCGAAAATCACCAATAGGATTTTGTAATTAACAGTTTGGGTTTAGGAGAATATCAAATTGGAGCTTTGGAGATTATGTCATTGAAAAGATGAACTACTTGAAGTTTTTATCAAGTTATAGCTGGACCTTTAAGAAAGGCTGCCTATGTATCCTTGCAAAGGGATCAAGCCATTCGTAGTTTGGTGGTTGCTTTAGATAGGAGTTTCATCCCGTTTTCTGATTATCTTAAACTTATGAGAAGTTATCTATTTATAAGAAGGCAAGATCGGTTTCTTTGACCTAGTTTCCCTTTTTTATCTAGGAATATTTATTCTTTTCCTTATTCTTCGAAGATTTTACCATTATCCTCAAATATATTCTTTTTACTTGAGGAGGTTAATCTGATGGACTCGGCTTGATAGACTATCACTAATGGAGAAAACTTTTTTTAGGAAATGTGTTCATTTCCCCTCTAATATCCGCATTATAATCAAGTACGTCATGTACAAAAAAAAACGTGATGTACACATAGGCATGTCAAACGGGCTGGCCCGGCCCGAAGCCCATAAAGTCCGCACATATTTAAGCTCGGCCCAGCCTGATCTGATAATATATCGGGCCTATATTTTGAAGCCCGGCCCGGCCCTAACAGGGTTATCGGGCTTTTTCGGGCTTTTTGAATAAATAAAATAAATTTTAAAAATAATCATAAATATAGTTTTATCAAATCTGAAAGCAAAGCTTTAACCTATAAATTCATATAAATTCTAACATCAAATATATTAAATAAATAAGTCATATAAATAGCGGAAACGGCAGAATTGAGATGAGAATCTTCAGGATGAAGGTAGGAGTGCTTCTTGAAACTAGTTTAGTTTGAGCATTGATGTTATAAGAAGGCATACAACTAAAAAGTAAGGTTTTACATTAATAAAGAGTATTATAAAAAATAATAACTCTAATTTTTTAAAATTGTGAAGTTAATTTATTAATAAAAATTTTTAAATAAAATTATAATATAAAGTACATAGCTTTTTGAGTAAGCCTGAAACCGATCGAGCTTAAGTCCAAATGGGCTTAGTCCGAATGGGTTTTGCGTAAAAAGTCCGATTTTTTGGGCTTTTATATCAAAACCTAAATCCAGTATTTTTCAGGACTACGCTGGCCGGGCTTTGACCCAAATTGACATCCCTATGTACACAATGACCAATTTTTTTATAGAAAATCTACGTACAGTAAAATTTATAATGACCAAAAGGTTAATTAAGCAGAATAATAGGGAAAACTTAACTAAAACTAAATTGTAGTATGGTGTGAGGCAAGCGAAAGACAAGATTCTTTTGCAGGTCAACAAAACTGTATCGAGCCGAAGTACACCAAACGTTACGAAAACAATAACCAAATACAACGTAAGAGGGACGTAGCGAAAATGTCGCGATGTGTATTGTGTGCAAGGGAGTTAGATTCACGCGCTCTTGTCTAAACGTTGACTTATTGTTTCATCTTTACAGTTTACACTCCCCTTTATTTTACATCGCATTTCTTCGTTACAAGTTTCCATTTAATTAGTCCTAATAATAGCTTCAGGTTTCGTAATCACTTTACGGCAACGTAAAATTAATTGAGTTTACAACTCTTTCATTCATTACGATTACGATGTTCGGAAAAGTTGAAAATGGAAAGAGTTTAGAAACAATAAATACTCAACAACATAAAACAACGGTTCGATCGAAACTTTATGCATCATCCATCGCATACTTTTATGTAATTTATTGAGATTAGTTTACTTCAGTTATTTATTGCAATTTTAGTTATGGATGTTCACTACGGATATTTTAGATATGTAAAATATTCATCATTTTCCAAATATTTAAGATGAGTTTGAATTTCGCTCTATTGTCACGATTATTTAAAAATGGTCAAAAAATACAAATATATAAATTTGTACTAAATTAATCATCAAACACAGGTATTATAAAAAAAACATTTGAATTTGACTAATTTAGTTAAGGTTCAGTTCAGCTACATTCGGTGAGTTTTCCGCAACACCAAGAAAACGGAAATAATCGACCATTTTAGTAGTATTCATATAAAAACGTAAGACCAACCCCAATGCAGATATATAAAGATCTAAAAATAAGTTTTTACTAATATAATTAAATTAAAAAATAATATAAAGTGTTTAATATTTTAAACACTTGTCTAAAATATAATTTTTTTTTTTGGTTTAAGAAAAGATAAAGACAAATAGCAAAATATGAATGAAAAGAAAAATTAATATAGAAAATAAAATAAAAACTCTACCAAATATTAATAATTAATTGTTAAGACCTCCATACTAATAGTGTTACTATTAAGATTGCTTTAAGTGACTAAAAAAGAGCTTAAAACAATTCTAAAAACAAACTAAACAATTTCCACATTATTTCATAATTTAATTAAAAGACTAAGTCAGGAAAAATAAAACAAAATTTTAAGACCAAGTAAAAAAAATACAAGAAAACAAAAAATTAAATACGGGTCCCACCATAAGCCAATCGTCAATTAACCAAGCACCTTTACGCCACGTAGCGTTAAGCAGTCACGTAAGCCCTTCCTCTACATTAGACCCAACTAAAAGTCTTCTCTACCCCAAAACCCACACATTGACTCAGAGATAGAGAGAGACTCTTCTATCTTGCGCACCTCTCTCTGCTTATCCTGCGCACCGTCGCCATCTCCTCCGGCGAAAAAAAACCCCACAACCATGGGGAAAGGTCGCGCACTAAGCGACGGAGTGATTAAGAAAATCCTCCTCTCCTACACCTACGTCGCAATCTGGATCTTCCTCAGCTTCACCGTAATCGTCTACAACAAATACATCCTCGACAAGAAGCTCTACAATTGGCCATACCCAATCACACTCACCATGATTCACATGGCTTTCTGCTCTTCCTTAGCCGTAATTCTCATCAAGGTCTTCAAAATCGTCGAGCCTGTCTCAATGTCTCGCGAGACCTATCTCAGATCCGTCGTTCCCATCGGCGCGTTGTACTCACTCTCCCTCTGGCTATCGAACTCAGCTTACATCTACCTCTCCGTCTCCTTCATCCAGATGCTCAAAGCCCTAATGCCAGTCGCCGTTTACTCGATCGGGGTTTTGCTGAAGAAGGAGACTTTCAGATCTCAGACCATGACGAACATGCTCTCGATCTCGTTCGGCGTAGCGATCGCCGCTTACGGCGAGGCGAAATTCGATGTCTGGGGCGTTGTTCTTCAGCTTGGAGCTGTTGCTTTCGAAGCCACGAGGTTGGTTCTGATTCAGATCTTGCTTACCTCTAAAGGAATCAATCTAAATCCGATCACATCTCTCTATTACGTTGCTCCTTGTTGTTTCGTTTTCCTCTCTGTGCCTTGGATCTTCGTTGAGTTCCCGATCTTGAGAGACACTTCGAGTTTCCACTTCGATTTCGTCGTTTTCGGAACCAATTCGGTTTGTGCGTTCGCTTTGAATCTTGCTGTGTTTCTCCTCGTTGGGAAGACTTCTGCTTTGACTATGAATGTGGCTGGTGTGGTTAAGGACTGGCTCTTGATCGCTTTCTCTTGGTCTGTGATTAAGGATACGGTCACGCCGTTGAATCTTTTCGGTTACGGTCTTGCGTTCTTGGGCGTTGCGTATTACAATCACTGCAAGTTGCAGGCTTTGAAGGCTAAAGATGCACAGAAGAAGGTTCAAGAAAGTGATGAGGAAGCTGGGAAGCTTTTGGAACAGAGGGAAAGTGAAGTTACTGGAAAAAGAAACGATACTCAAGACTGAGATCTTGACTTAAGATTGCAATTTTCAGGGGAATAAGAGCTAAAGGGTAAAGGATTTGAAGAGCTTTTTTTTTGGTGGTGGATTTTGCTATTATGAAGTTTCGGTCAACCTTTTTAAGTTATTGCTAATTAATATTTACATATTTGATTGACGGTACAAAGGGGCTTTAGTTTAGAGGTTTCATGAATCTTTTGAAGCTCTTTTGTGACTTCTTTTAAGTTTGTCTTTGTTTTTCTTACTTTTACTTCTTATGGATCTTCTTTTGTTGTTGTAGTAATTTCTTTATATTTTTGCTCATTGAGATTGTTACAATGTCAAATCGAAATTCCTTTCTTTCTCATTTTCTCCAATGAAACCGTCATTACAAAAGGTTTCGATATTATTATATCGTTATGTAGGATCATTTTGGATGCAAGTTTCCTAATCTCCGGCAATAAATTCTCATACGGACGTTACAGTAATATGTTACAACATCATATGAAGACAAGAGTCTAGTGGCGAAATGAGAGTTTTCTTCAAAAGTTTGTCTTAGGTAAAGAGGAGAGGCAAAATTGGTGTTACATACCAAATAAAAAAACATTCAAACAACTCACGGATTAGGGCTTTCTCAACAACGAACATTTGGGAACTTTAACACTTTCTTCTCAAAAGCTGTTATGGTTCCAGAAAAAAATTCCTAATCATGCATTGGTTTGCCGCTTTGTGACTTCTGACTCAAGGCAGATTGTTTCTGTTAAGTGCACAAAACAGACAATCGAAATTAATTTGGAAAGTTATGATTTATTCAACTAGAATCAACAATTTAATCAATCTGATTACAATTGCTTGGAATTATGCAATTCTATCCTAGATTATCCCCAATAATTCATAGTCCTAAAACACTCTTCACAAGATTATACAGCTTGTGTATCAGGAAGGAGAACACTAATCTTCTTGCTTCGTTTTTCTCTGGAAGCTCAAGGATGATTTTAATGTTTGAGGCGCAAAGTGTACATACCACACTTTGCCCGACTTCCTTTATATATGATCTACCCAAAACCCTAACCCTAGAATCTAGTTACAAATCGGTTTGTTACAAATTTTCTTTTTTCCTCAGCTACAAGCAAATCCGTTTGTCCTTCTTGAGCTGCTTCTTGATGTCATCTGCATCTTCAATCTCCTCCTTTTTGACTTGGTTTGACACTTCAGCACATCTACCAGTCATCCTGCAAAGTCAGACGAACACACACACACCACACAAAGATCAAAGCAGAACTAAATGCAATCCACACAATCAATATTGAGAGAAACCAAACTGTGCTTAAAATTACAGGCCAGCAAAACTAAGAGCGATTTAAAAGTCCAATGCGCTCATCAAAACCAAACTGAAAGTTATCAAAATCCAGCAAAACCAAGAGCGACTAAGTCCAATGCGCTCATCAAAAACAAACTGAAAGTTCTCAAAATAGTTCTCAAAATAATTAAACATGGCTTGGCCTGATACTTCTACTTAGTTTTAGTCTAAATTCTCCCTATCAAGGTTGCTCCCTCCACACTTGGAGTTCCCTCCTCCGATACATCTCCTCCTGTATAAGTGCAGAACTAAGTCAAAAACTAAGATGCCAAATTGAGCAAAAAAAGGAGAAGAAACACTTACCTTGAAGAAGGCGTTTGATGCTCAGAACAGCCCGAGTGAGTATCCGACGATCATCAGAGGAGAGAAACGTGCCCGTCACAATCGAGTGCCCCTCCTGCTTTGGTTCCGCTTTGACTGAGGCCGGAACTGCAGCGATGCGAAAAGGCTGAATCACCTCTATGCGATTCACCGGATCGAGAGGAACCGGACACTGCTGCTGCAGAAGCTTGTAGATCAAACTGGGTATGGAAGCAGAAACTTTGAACCCGGATTGCGTCCAAGACCAAGAATGTGATAAAAAACCATTGCACCAAAATCAAACGGAGTCTTGGTAGCCACACGATGAACCATCCTAGCATGAGTTTTGTTGGAGAAGCCAGTGTTGAAAGTGGGAAGGCAATTGTGACAACTAATCTTGAACAACGCCCATTTGTCACTTTGATACTGAGATAGAGTCAAATTCTCTCAAACTCCGTACTTGCCACCACTCATGAAGAGAGCCAGTTGATCATCAGAGAGAAGCTCAGCATCCAAGGCAGCACTGGCAGATGCCATCTCCTCAAGGCCAAAGAGGCGATTGATCAGGATCAGAGAGAAGACATACTCGTGACCCCAAAGCACCATGCGAATCTTATCCAAGGGAACCTTCTCATCGGGAAAATGAGCCCAGAACTCCCTGATGATGGTCGGAGGAAAACGATAGATGCCAGTGATGGTAGGAGTCAGACCGACAACACGAATGTTATCCTTAACACCAGGGGGAAGCGATTTGAGATCCACCTCACGTTCCGCCAGAAAATTATGATTCAGAAAGAGGTCAAATCGATCACTCACTCGTCGAGATGCAAATCGAACAACATCAAACTCTGGTGCCGAAGAAGATTTGGAAGATCGGATCTTCTTCTTGGGCGGTTCCGCTGGATCTGATTCTATTTTAACATGCCGCTTGCTTCGGCGAGTTCCGCGAGCAATGGAGGAGGAAGGCACTTTGACCGATGCAAAAACAAACTCCACAGATGAAGATCGAATCCGAACTGGCGATAGCGTTGCTGAGTTTGTAGATCCGGCCACTGAGTGAGAGACACGAGCAGACGGACCAGGTGGGGGCCCGGATTCTGCGGCGACTGAAGGAGTACCAACATATGGCACGATTGCCAAGGCATCAGGATTTGCATGCTTCATCGGACCGTTGTCATGCGAAGGGAGCAGCAAGTGATCGAGAGCAGCCGGTTGCGGTGGAGGAGTACCAACCAGACGAGAGAGAGACCAGAGAAAATAGCTTTCATCGTTGAATACGGAGAGAAGTGAGACCCAAGGGAGATTAAGCGGTTGGGAAGAAGTGCGAAGTGACGTTTGGGGCTCGAGTCGACAAACTCTAAATAGGCGTTTTCCCTCCAAGAGATGCATCTGATTGGGCCAAGATTCTGGTGGGCTTTTTACCTGGACAAGATTAGAAACACTCAATTCACCCAATTAGACTAACAAAGACAATGATTCTGATCGGTGATCTGCTCAACTGACTCATCAGATAATAAGAATGCTGAATCAGATACACGATTAATAGCATATCCACCATGGCAAATTTCAACACAAATTATGAGGGACCCTAGAAGAGATTGACACACTGAAATTGCGTTTGGGCATACCTTTGATGGTGTGAATTAAGCTGGACATCCTCATGATGATCCATAGCACAATGCAGAAACAAGCTCAGGTTGACAAACTAGCATCCTCTAGATCCAGTGGCTGATCTTTCACACTAATCTGCCTTTATCTCTTAGAATCCAAGTTTTCAATCCTGGCATATGATGGACTGACTGCTCAAAACTTTAACAGAGAGTTAACCTTCTTATGTATATTACCATCATTGATTGAAATCTCAGGTTCAACATAAGCCGATGAAGGTTCAGCGTGGTCTTGCCCTTTGTCAGCGATCAGTCCAGTCTGTCATATTCATTTTTATTTTATTTTATTTGACTTGACCGAATCAGTTGCGGACTCACACAATCTCCAGTTCGTATATCAGCCCATGAATCAATGCAACTTGTACTTGTCAACTAGAGACGGCAACCTAGGCAGCCTTCTTTCACTGGACGCTACATATACAGAGAACAGTTTTTGAAAACACATTTTAGTCGTACCTGAACCCGTCCCTGCATGCGTTCCTGTCCAAGATCACATGCACTCACACACATCATTAGTTCTCACATACACCAATGGACTTTCTTAGATTTATGAATATGTTGAAACCCAAAGGCTTAGTGAACAAATCTGCAAGTTGATATTCAGTACTAACATGTGCAATCTCAATCAGTTTTTTCTCTACTAATTCTCGTATAAAGTGATGCCTGATATCTATGTGTTTAGTTCGTGAGTGTTGAACATGATTCTTTGCAATGTTAATTGCACTCTCATTGTCACAATGAATCATAAGAGATTTAGATTCCATACCATAGTCAGCTGCCATTTGTTTCATCCATAGGAGTTGAGCACATCTACTTCCCAAGGCAATTTATTCAGCCTCAGCTGTTGATAAAGAAACGCTTTTCTTGATGTGCCACAATATCAGGTTGTTCCCAAGGAAGAAACATCTGCCACTAGTACTTCTTTTGTCATCTAAGTATCCAGCCAGATTCTGGTTGGTGTCAATTGAATAAAGTAGCCACATGTTGATTGTTCCTTTGACATACTTGATGATCCGCTTAACTGCTTGCATGTGTGACATCTTAGGCACAGCCGTATATCTAGCACAGATTCCCACACTGAGACATAGATCAGGCCGACTGGCAATCATATACAGCATACTTCCAATCATGCTTCGATATAGTTTGGTGTCCACATCTTCTCCTTGTGCGTCTTTTGATAGCTTGCAGTTAGTGCCCATGGGAGTCTTAGCCACTTTACTGGAGTCCAACCCAAATCGGTTGACAAGATTCCTGGCATATGTGCTCTAAGATATACAGACACCGTCATCTGATTGCTTGATCTGAAAACCTAGAAAATAGTTCAGCACACCAACCATACTCATCTCAAACTCTTTTGTCATTGTGCTAACAAACTCATCAACCATCCTTTCATTTGTAGCTCCAAAGACAATGTCATCAACATAGATTTGAACCACCATGAATCCGTGTTTCCTTGTGATGGTATACATGGTTTTATCAACACTTCCATGTTGATAGCCATTCTGCATCATGAAGGAAGTCAGGCGCTCATACCAGGCCCGTAGAGCTTGTGTCAAGCCATAAAGAGCCTTCTGTAGTTTATATACATACTCGAGATGAATCGAGTCTTATAATCCTTTAGGTTGCTCAACAAACACTTCTTCCTGAAGATACCCATTCAAGAAGGCATTCTTGACACCCATCTGATGTAGCTTGAATCT